CTCATGCACAGTAGGTGGTGGTATGCACCTAAAAGTTGTTTGCGATCCGCCATTAATTCAAAAGAAGAAGAAGAAGCTCCTGTGCCAGATTTATGAACGGTTCTGCCTAGTAATTATCCAGCATTCATGTCACGTCTTGCCTGTCTCGTCTCGACCTTGGTTCTCCTCACTGGTTCTTCGCCTCTTGCCTTGCCCCTGAATGGTACTGTCCTGGACTCTGCTCTCTTGGTTTTGACCCCTGCCCTGGACTCTGGATTTCTGCCTCCTGCCTCGCTCCCCATCGGTACTGTTCTGCCTTCTGCCTCCTGGATTACAACCACCACCCGCCTGATCCAACCACGAGATAAGTCTGCTCCTTCTAACCTGGTTCTGCTCTTAGTCTGCCTGTGTATGACCCCTGCCTGTCCCATGGATCACCCCTGGACCTCTAAGTCCCATCTGAGATCTCTCTCCAAACACGGAAGTGTCACTGGACACCACCCGACACTTTCCACGTCACTCAAGAGTTCGCTCAGGACCAAGCATTCTCTTAAAAGGTTAGTGGCTCAGTTTAATACAAGGTCAGATCCTTCTGTTATGAATGAGCTTGGTTGATTAGACCCGTCTGCGCATCCTATGTGGTGATGATGGCACTAAATGGGCAGAACATCTCCCTATCGTGGAACATGCCATGAACTCCATCGCTTCCAGTGCCACTGGTCTGTCTCCCTTCTACGTCCTGTATGGATACCAGCCACCGGTGTCTGCCACCCAAGACCGAGCTGCCATCGTTCCATCAGCATACCAAGCCGCCCAGAGGTGCCGAAGAGTCTGGACCAAAGCCCGTGCCCAACTTCTAAAGTCTTCAGCAGTCTACACGCGGGCAGCCAATCATCACAGGATCCCTGCACCCAGCTACCAGGTGGGACAAAAGGTTTGGCTCCTCCACCAAGGACCTACCCCTGCATGTAGACTGCAGAAAGTTGGCACCCCGGTTCATTGGTCCCTTTCCCATCTCCAAAGTGGTAAACCCGGTGGCTGTCAAGTTGAAAATACCCAACTCCATGAAGATCCACCCAACGTTCCACGTGTCCCAGGTCAAGCCTGTCCAGTACTCCAGGTTTCTGCAGACCTCGGTTGTAACGAGTGATTATTTGAGTTACTGTTGCCGTTCTATCAGCTTGAACCAGTCTGGCCATTCTCCTCAGACCTCTGGTATCAACAATGCATTTGCGTCCACAGAACTGCCGCTCACTGGATATTTTCTCTTTTTTGGACCATTCTCTCTAAACCCTAGAGATGGTTGTGBGTGAAAATCCCAGTAGATCAGCAGTTTGTGAAATACTCAGACCAGCCCGTCTGGCACCAACAAACAAGCCACGTTCAAAGTCACTTAAATCACCTTTCTTCCTCATTCTGATGCTCGGTTTGAACTGCAGCAGATCACCTTGGCCATGTCTACATGCGTTGCTGAATTGCTGCCATGTGATTGGCCAATACGACAATTGCGTTAATGAGCAGCTGGACAGGTGTACCTAATAAAGTGGCAGGTGAGTGTATGAGGACATCATTTTTTTGCACACACCACTTCCTGTACCATGACAGAGTCTAGTTATTATACTTATTAGGTCCTACTAATCCTATGTATCTTAGAGAAAGAAAAAATGTGCATCCAGAAAAAGCTTGGGTCTGAGGAGGTAAAATAATTACAATTTATAAAATATAAGTTTAAAGATAACTAAGTTGAATTAACCTACTAAATGTTCTTGAACCAATACAGGATGAGAAGATGTCGAACTGTAAAGTGCTTCTCTTGAGAACGTTGGAGGAACTTGAAGCAGAAGAGCTGAAAAAATTCAAATGGTATCTTCAGCAGAAAGGAATGCTGGAAAAATTCCCATCAATCCCAAAGAGTCGTCTGGAAAACGTGGATAGAGTGGACTTGGTGGATCAGATGGTGCAGTCCTACTGCGTACGCACCATTCAAGTGGCTAAAATGGTTTTAAAGCTGATCAGCAGAAATGATCTGGTGGAGAACTTCAATGTTCCAGAACCGGAAGGTGAGTCAAGACAAAAAATTAAAATGGCAAATACAAACTGCAGAAAAACATTTTCACATAAAAAGATGAGTTTCAGAGCCAAATATAAAACAAACTAGAAGAATTTTAAAGAAAAGTTGAAAGGTGTCGATGCAATTGCTGCCAAAAATTACTTTAAACGTTACCTTATTAGATCAAAATTTAATAACAAAGACAAACTTTTATAAGAAATTAAGCMAAAACCCATCTTTAAAAGCATCAGCGATCTTTATTTTGACACTCCAAATTAAAGCTTCTGTTTTATGACTTTAAATCCTAAATTCTGATGATTATTATTTAATTCTCAAAAAAATAAACATCTCATTTCAAACGACATGAAGTCTGAAATTCTACAGACTTATGGTTAAAAACATAGAAGGAAGTAAAGTGGGCTGAAGACCCAGGATCTGCTGGTAATCTGTTTATAGTTGATGCGTCTCACCAGACGTGAGGGTGCACGCATCCAAAGTGATGCAATTGTGCCGTTGCCACCGAGCGGTGTCCCGAAGCGTGGTCATGCACCTCCGAAATTGTGAAACTCCGCAAAGGCAGCATACGCTTTTGCTCTCCTATTACATCATTTTCACAAGTTATAAAAAGTACTTCCACGTGTTATTTTGGACAGAACTACAACAACGTAAATGCCAAGTATAAACACCTCTACTGCCAGCGAGAGTGATTTGTCGGATGCTAACATCACTGCACCACACTGGAGGCTGTCCAAATTCAAAGACTCCTCCCAGGCGGCTGATGAATGCGTTGTTGTTTGTCCCCGATCTGAGGGACAGGTCCACTGGATCTTTCTCGGCCCACCATATCCCATAATGTATTGCGGGCCGATGGGAGATTTTTTTCCTGTTAGTAATGGCGGATGAAGCGAGAGAAAGGAGTACAGTTTTAAATAAAAAATCTGTTGGTATAAAAATTAAAAGTTTCAAGCAGTCGTGTTAATGATTTATCATTTGTATAGACATGTTTAAAATATTGTTCTTGTCAGAAATCAAATGAGCGAAATAAACGTGCACCTACGACAGGTCCGTTAGCTCTTCAAATATTGCCTTTAAGTTGATGTTGTTCTGTTATAATTATAATATATTGATATTTTGCTCATTTCAGTCTAAGTTTGCTTCTGTTTAGCATCGTCACAGTTGCTAAGGACGTACGCCGGGTTAAGGACTGGAGGCTAGACCGTCCAAATTCACAGCCACCTTTTTCCGGTCTTAGCGGTCTACCAAGAACCTGGCCCACCTAGACCGGGTAGGCCGGGTCCTTCGGAGGACCCAGGCTCTGAATTTGGACATAGCCAAAGTGTCAAAACAATAAGTCAAATCAAAGAACTACTTGACTTAGCCTCCCGTTTAGGACACAGCCAAGGTGGAAGAAAACAAAAATACTGACATTTCAAGAGACACTGCAGACTTTAAATATATATTGAAAAAACAATTTACTTTTTTATAAACATCATCTACATTGCTATCAAAAGTCACAGCAAAATATTTTCAATCAAGACACATTTTTTTGTTTACGCTTTTTCAAATATTCTGAGTGGAGAAGTGAATCAAAAATCATAAGAGAAACAGCAGAATAAATAGTAACTAGACATGGGTTTTTACGATGTAAAAATAAGTGTGCATTGCCATGTAGCATGTCATTGCCTGCGACATTGGACTTGCAGAATGAACTTTGACCAAGTTCAAATGTGTTTTCTATACCATCTTGTGCCTGTCACATCAGCAGGTGTTTGTAATTAAGGTAATTGTGTGACAATATGAAGTTTGCAGAGATAGATTTTTTTGTTTAAGTTGCATTAGCTGGGTTTTGAACCCTGATGTCCCACATGAAAGTCCATGACACAGACCATTAGACCAACGGAGCTGAGGCAGAAGCTGCTGGCAGGGGTTGTTTTGTATGTGTGCAGAAAGACACCACATTGCCAATACAATTATTGACACAAAAATGCATAATATTACAACAATCGAGCAGTATTAAGACAATATTATAGTAAAAACATAAAAAAACAATCATATTAGTACTGTAAACACTGAACTACTGAGTTGAAATATTAAACTATGGTGCAGTACCAAGTTGAGTACAGCATG